GATAGTGTCTTGTTTTACTAGTGTCATTTATTTGTTTTACTAGTGTCATTTATTTCTTTTACTACCTTTTTGGTAACATGCAAATGCTTTCAATCTTATGCTCTGTGTGTTTTTTCAGTTTTGCAAGTGATGCTAAAATAATACAAACGTTGTTTGGTTGGAAGCAAATTAAACTTAGTAAAACTTCATAAACAAAAAATTTTTTAAGTTTCAACCATATGCATTCAATTAATAATTGAACTATTATATAATTCAGGACAGTAGACTATTATATTTCGTAGTTTATTTCAATTTAAAAATGTAACAATATGCATGCAGATAAAACACATAATTATTATGTGTTTTATCTGCATGTTTATTATAAATTGAAATAAAGTATGAAATATAATAGTCTACTGTGCTAAATTATATAATAGCTCGAAATCCCCTATCAAATTAAGAAAAGACAATCAGCAATTTTTCGTTTTTTATCTCTCCCATCTTCCAGCATAACACAAAAGTATTACCAAACAACTGACATAAGTATGTAGCAAGAATGCATCTCTAAATTGAAAGGCAAGAAACCTTTCAATTTGCTACAAACATTCGTCTGGAAAAAAAAATACACATAAAAAATACTCATTACTCATATAAAAAAAATCAGATAAAGTTAGCCTTACAAATCACTCACACATGCCTCCAACCACTTTTTAGTTTTGCGATTTGACCCCGGCATACATTGTTGGATTCATTATAATGAGTAGATTTAGGTTTGATATGTCACTAAAATCATAAAATTCTTTTTTGCAAATTATTTACGTTTTAGGGGCCAAAAGGGCCCAATTTTGGAATTTTTTCCTAAATGCAAGAGATAAAAATGATATATATATATATATATATATATATATATATATATATATATATATATATATCATATATAACATATATCACAATTTTCATATTGGGGGGCCCGTATTACATATTAAGGATTTTTTTTTTTTTTTCGGTACCCATTTTAGGGGCCCAGAAACTTTAACTAATTATATATTTTTTTATGCTAATGTCACAAAAGTATGTTAAGTTTATTAATAAACAGAATTTTAATAATATAAAACATTAGTTAATGTGTTTATATATATATGTAATGTACATGGGTTTGTATTTTACAAATGAGATATTCAAAACAGTCATATCCAAACAATATATTTCATTTTCACACCTTATGGCTATAATTTTTGAACAATATACTTTTTGAACTGATATATTTGTTATATAAATTTAAAAAAAAAAAAAACTTCCAAGATTTTCGGAAAAAAATTAGGAATTTGACTCTTTTGGCCCCTAAAACGTAAATAAATAATTTTTTATTTTTTTTAATTTTGTTATTTAGGTGCCCCAAGAAAACCTAACGGTCTTGTCACAGAGCACCGCGAAAGTGCATTTAACCAGGAGGTTCACGCCTCCTTCCTTACCGTGACGCAAATATGTCCAAGGCTCGTTTCGAACCTCGATCTCCTGCTTATAAAGCAAGCGCTTTAACCACTTTGCCTATAAAGCAAGCGCTTTAACCACTTTATTTTAAATATTTTGCTAAAAGGAATTTTTTGATTTCGGTGACATATCAAACCTAAATCAATTCATTGTAATGAATCCAAATAACGAGGCAATTTCATCAGATTTTATATCAGTATAAAGTCATCAGTGCACTGATGACTTTATACTGATATAAGATCTGATGAAATTTGCCATACACATATAAACTATAACATTAGTGATTCAAATCTTTAAAAAATTAGTCTTTTTAAAAAAAAATTAGGCATTAGATAGTAGTGGTGGGGCTAGGGTTATTTCTTTTTACATATCAAAAGATTTTGGTAAAGGCTGGCATGCTGGACTTCTTTATAAGCCTAATGATACCAATATATGTTTCAGTCTTGACAAAAACTTTTTACCTTGTGAGAGCTTAGAAAAGGCAGCCTCTCTTCTCTAACAACTTGGAGTTTGAAATGGGTAATGAATTCTATTCGGAACAAAACTCAACTGATTACTGCTAATAATTATCACAATGTTGTTGATATTAAATGGTGAAATTAAATGTTATACTGAGAAAATTTAAAGTCTAATACTGAGTCATCTACTTTAAATCTTCTCAGTATAATATTTAATAGTAAAGTTGCAAAGTTACAACTAATTGTAACTTTGCAATTGTTTGCTTAAAACATTTGAATGAGGGGTTACTGTTATTAAATGAGGGGTTATAGTAACAAAGTTACAGTTCAGCAACTTATAAGGTCCAATTATTTTGCTGAATTAATTCAGCAAAATAATTGGACCAATTAAGTTGCGGAATTGTAACTTTGTAACAATAACCAGTGTAAAAAATTTACTTTAAAATATATATTTGTTGCTTCTGTTAAAAAAGACACTAATTACTGAATAATTGCTGATCGAGGTTGTCATAAAATCAGGGAGTTGTAATGACAATAACACTTTGATAAATTATCATTTAAAAACTTTAATCGTTATAGCACTGACCTTAATAATTTTTACTAAAAAAAAATATATTCTAAGAATAATATGTCAGAAAATTAAGATTAAAAAACGCTTAACAATACCAAAACTGATTTCGCTAATAATATTTGTAACAAGTTTTAACAGTTAACAACAAAACTTGTTGAGTTGAAGATAAAAACTTTTGCAATATAAAGCTCTATTGTACTCACTGAATTGTTTTGACTACATATTTCATATAATATTAACTAATTTTAACTATTATGTAATTATCACCACTGATTTCTAAGTTTCAATGATTGAATAGTTTCATAATTTCAAACAAAAACAAATAAACCCGATCAAGTTTGCGCATGCGTCAATTTTCAGCCGCAGAAGCAATTTTTGGACTCTTAGAGAGGCTGAATTTTCAGCCGCAGAAGACTCAAGCATATATATATATATATATATATATATATATATATATATATATATATATATATATATATATATATATATATATATATATATATATATATATATATATATATATATATATATATATATATATATATATATATATATATATATATTATATATATATATATATATATATATATATATATATGTATATATATATATATATATATATATATATATATATATATATATATATATATATATATATATATATATATATATATATATTATATATAACACAGACACACAAAATATCATTACTATTCTATAAAACACAAAGTGAAAAGTCTTGGTGCAATTTTGATGTCTTTTGTTAAAATTTCCTCATTATACTTGTAACTTAGTTACACTTAATAACTAAACTCAATTTTCTTTTATTTAAATATTGTATCGATTATAGTTTATAGATCATAGAGTATAGAATATAGAAAATTAAAAAGTATCTTTAAACGATAAATAACTAAACAAAATTAATAATCTCAAAATATTCAACCAAAACAAATAGACATATTTAATTAACCGAGTTAGGGCATAATATTGTATGCGCCAAGTTGATAATATTAATTTTTTTACTTATTTCTAAGGTAATTAGGTCGTCTAATGTAGGTCTTAGCGACGTCAATAGGACGTCTAAATATGGAAGTCCTAATATCGTCTTTATATTAACGTCACAAGGACGTCCTAACAAAGACGTCTTTACCGGACGTCTTTAGGACGTCCTAATTTGGTCTGAGACGTCGCGACCTAGTTAAGACGTCCGTAAGACGTTTGATTGACGTCTGTGCCCGCTGGGTATATATATATATATATATATATATATATATATATATATATATATATATATATATATATATATATATATATATATATATATATATATATATATATATATATATATATATATATATATATATATATATATATATATATATATGCAAATTATATTGGTGCATTTTACAAAGAGAGCGTTCAATTTTCTTAAAAAACAGAGAAGTAGTAAAGTGTTTCCTGATGATCCTACTTCCTACTTCGGCTTCCAGTTCATCTTAGCGAAGGAGAAACCGGATTTCTTTTATTAATATTTAATTGAGAAAGGAGATGTGATATTGATGTTATTCAGGAGAAGTATGATCCTGAATAACACGTAGAACAAATTCTAAAAAGTTAATGTTAATAAATAACACAAATACACTATTTCAGTGATTCCCAAACTTTTTTGTGTCATAGACCCCTTGCTATGTTTTTCGGTTTTGGATAGACCCCCAACTTATCTGATACTAATTTTTCGTTAATTTTTAACTGTAGTGAAGTTTAGTTTTAAAAATGTCAAGTAAAAACACATGCTAAGTTTTATACATTTATTAATTGCATTTAAGTTAAAAATACTTAAAATAAAGCTGTGTATCTGTATACGTATCATAAAATAAACACAAAAAATAAACTAAGCAATAAGTAAATTTTTTCAGTGAGAAGGATGAACCTGATGCTTTAATAAGAAATTATCAACATTTGGCGCCAACTTTGTAAGGTTTAATCTTAAATCTCCTCGACTAATGATGTCCAGTCTGTTTCTTTTTTTCGTTAGGAGATCGGTAACAACACTGAATCCTTTTTCCACTAGGTATGAGGATGGGAAGGAAATAAAAAATGAGGATGGAAAGGGAATAAAAAATTTCTCCGCTATATTCCATAATACTGGATAAGTAAAGGGTATGATGTTTTGCATCCAGAATTGCTGATATCCGTTTTTAAACTAGACCTTAAGTTCTTTGTTTGTACTTAGTGCAATCAGTTCCTCTTGTATTATGACATATTTTTATTCTATCTCACCATACAGGTTAATTATCCAGGTGGTATTACCATAGTCAAAACATCCTTAAACCTAGTTTCAAATCTAAATAGAGGGCATTTAAATGTTGAACGTAGGTTGAAACGTCGTCTTCCGGACAGTTTGTCTGTGACAAACTGGGGAACTGGGAAAGTTCGCCCCGTCCAATATTTTGCTTCATTAGTTTAACTCTGGCAAGAAACGCTGATAAGATAGATTTTGTTTAAATCAAATGTCGATTGTCGCCTTGTAACTGCAAGTTAACCATATTAAATTTTGTAAACAAATCTGTTAAATAGGCAATGTCTGTTTCCCATTTTATTAAATTGTCTTTTAAAATTTTATCTTTAGTATCCAAAAATTCCAAAATAGTCTCAAAAAGTCCAAAAAATCTTGTTAAACATAAGCCTTTCGATATCCAGCGTACTTCAGTGTGAAGAAGTAACTGATGAAAGTGTTCGTCATTTTCTTTACATAACTGTGCAAATAACCGCGTATTCAATGCGTTGCTTCGGATTCGGTTTACTGCATGAACGACTAATTGAAGAGATTGATACAATCTAGCGCTCAAATTTTTAGCAACCAAATGTTGCCGATGGATGATGCAATGTATTGCTAACACCCCTGGCACATTTTGTTTTAAATAGCTTATAAATCCATGATAACGTTCAACCATGGCAGGTGCTCCATCTGTTGCTACTGATATGATATTTGATAAAGGGAATGCTTTTACAATAAAGTAATCCTTTCTATATCGACACTAAAGGTGAATCAATATTTAAAACATTAAATATTGATTCACCTTTAGTGTCGGTTTTCAACGTTTTTGTAAAGAGCAGTTCTTCGTGAATTTCTTGGTTCATAATAAAACGAACATATGCCAATGATAATGCTGCATAACCAGGTAAAGTTGACTCGTCCAGTTGTATTAAGAAATGTGTTGTTTGCAAATAATTACACAAGAAGCATTCAATATCAGAACTCATTTCATCAATACGCTTTTCAATAGTGTTGTTGGTTAAGGAAGTTCTTTTAATGATATCTGATGCAGGTTTGTGTAAAACAGTTTTTAAAACCTCTTCAACGGCTATATAGTATGCGTTTTTCCGGATTTTGCTATAACTAGCGAGATGTTGTAAGACGCCTAAAACTATTATCGTTTCTTTGTGATGTTGAAGAGAACATTCTATCCAGCGTGAGTCTATTCTGAAGTTTATCTTTAAGTGTTTGAAAGTATTTCAAATCTTTATCTGTTTTATCAGGGTGACATCTTTTCGAATGATCCTTCAACTTAGATGGTTTCATAGCGTCATTGCCCAAAATTTTGTTGCATAAAAGACATATAGACAATTGTTTATCCGTCAATGATGGAATGAAGCCAAACTTCAAATAATCAACACTGTACTGCCTACATTTCTTTTTGCATTCGGGCACGGCATCAGTCATCTGTGAGCAAAATTATTTTATTTATAAGATATAAAGTTCAGCATTTAAAAATCAAAGTCAAATTTAAATCGTATAGTCTTACATTTTATGTTATGCATAGGTGTACAGCCATTATAAATGAATGTCAGAACAATAATATGAATATTACTTATGTAATGTACTCGTGTAATTTTGCATGATTTAAATATTCAACTACCGATAACGGAAGTCATGATTCATGTAATTTATTTATTTTTGCTAACACGATTACAAAACTAAAATGTAATTAAAAAAAATTGTACTTCCTTTTCTTCGGCACTCTTAAACAAAATAATGCTGATTCACTATAATTTTATTAAAAACACAACCATATTATATCAATCACGTCACACAACAGTCATTGATTTTATTCTATTTTTATAAAAACTCTTTCATTTATCTTCTTTTTTGTAAATAAAAATGTCTCCGGCATTGAATTTCAAGTTGGAGAGCAGCAACAGTTTAAAAAGACTTAGTAATTAAATGGATTTTAAAAATGTTCGGTACTTTTATAATTCTTTTTAAGCTAAGGAACTCAATTTTTAATGAACAAATGCGGTTAACAAGTTTAGTCAATTAGCTAGTCACGTATGGTAATGACTTGTGCGTGTCTGCTCTGCCGCGATCATTTAGCGGTCGCCATTGATTAAATTTAGTGAGTCAGTGGAGGAGTATAATGTAAATAAAAAGGTACTATCAATTTTTATTTCATAGACCCCCAAATATTTATTCCAATGACGTAGACCCCTTGCAGTTTGTCATTGTCATATAGATCCCTAGGGGTCATATAGACCCCTAGGGATCTATATAGACCACTTTGGGAATCACTGCACTATTTACTGTCATTCTCTTCAAGAATATGAAAAAGTTATAGAGTAAAAATAATTTAACTGTAAAAGAACGAAACTTGTAACATGGATATTATATATCTAAAAACACTTTCAAATGCTTCACTCATATCTATAATTTCATTCCAATATTTATTACTAACAATAGTAGTAATTTAATTTTTAGAACATAATTGTTATTTACTTTATTGTTATTAAAATTATAAATTTATTGATCTCGAAAATTGTAATCAACAGAATAGTATATTATTTAACAAAATATGTGATGATTTTTATCGGTATTTTATATATGTTAAAAATTCGATAAAACATGTTGGCAAATATATCTTTTAAAAGTAAAAGTTGGTAAACTATTTGAAATATCTTTTTAAAATTATGATATTAAAAGCATACATAATGAAATGTAAATTCAAATGTAAATTAGCGTTTTTTAGTGTAATTTTTTAAACCTCAAGATCAAATTAGAGCACTTTCTGTTGATTTTCAGACCAATATACTTTTATACGATTCTTAATCAGCATAAAATTCTCTATCATAATCAACAATAAAAAAAAAAAGAGGGGGATGCGGAGAAACTACAGTAGCGCCTAACTATTGATATAGATAAAACAAAATTAACCATCTAAAGAACAACAAGTTCTCTCAGAACGTAAGAGCAACAAGTTGATGAAGTTTTTTCTATTTTTTTCAACAAGATTTATATTCACCAATAAAGTTTCATAGTATTATCTCTAAGCGTTCAAAAATTATGACAATATTAAATTTGCAACCCCCTCAAAGTGAGGGGGTTTAAACTTTATATGGTCATAATCTTTGAACGCTATAATATTTTACTTTAATGGAATTTAAAATTTATCAATGAATATAAGTCTAGTTGAAAATAGTAGAAAAAGTACTTCATCAACTTGTTGTTCTCACGTTTGGGGCAGGGGGACCTAAATTTTGGGGCTTTTTTGTTCCCAATCTCCAATCTTCGCAATTTTTTGCAAAGCATCTTTATTTGACATATGTATAAACATATAAATGTTTGGAGTTTGTTCCATGTCTAGAAGTTAACTATCTCAAAGACCAAAAAATGTTGACGGCGTCCCTGCGCCTAACAACGGTTATTAATATTAACGTTTATTAATATTAACGTTTATGCTTTTAAAACTGATGACCACTTTGTAAAAAAAAAATTTAAAACAACTCTACACCATCTATTGTTGAGACACTGTTATATAAAGCTGATAAATGAAAAGGTTTGAAACAGCTTTTGTATTGTTTTGTGAAACACCGTTTTGTAAGCAACATTACAGTTTAAACAGATTTACACCGTTAACGGTAAAGTCTACACCGTTTTATGAAAAACACTGTTTTGTAAAATGGTGTAAAACTGAAATTATAATTTTGTAAAACGGTGTAAAACAGCTTTACAGCATTTTACACCATTTACAATAAAACGGTATAAATTTAAACTTTTTGCTTAAACAACTTTCAAAAAGCACCGTTTAAAGTTATGTAAACACCAAAACGGTGTAATTTTACACCTTTGAATTAATAGTGTACACTCTGAAGGTTAATTTCAATAAAACGGTGTAAAATAATACCTTTTTATATTTACTAAACCGTGTCAAAAAGGTGTAAAAATTGAGTATTACAAAGTTTTTCTTCTTTTGCACTTTTTGAATAAACGGTGTAAAACAGTTTTTCACCGTATCACACCGTTTTATAAAAAGGTGTAAAAGAAAAAAACATCACAGTATTCGATTTTTACACCTTTTTAAAAAGGTGTAGTGATTAAAAAAAGTGTTATTTTACACCGTTTTATTAAAAATTAACCTTTGCAGTGTATAATTACACCAAAACGGTGTTAGTTTACACTTTTTGGTTAATTTTCAAAAAATCCCGTTTGAGATTATATGGCACCAAAACGATGCAATTTTACACATTTTAATTAAGACTTTAGGGAATAAGTGTTTCCCGGTGGGAAATGAGCTAGCGACTAGCGAGAGATTAGCTAGCTTTATAGCAATTTTGTAGCGATTTTTTTTTTTACTTTTTGTTTTTTTTCCTAATGTCTTTAACATCTTTAAAAATTCGATTTTTAGTGTTGAGTCTATTATAATTATGAGAATAATTAAACTTTAAACTTTGAGATTTGTAGCAATGTGTCGCTAGCTACATATCGTAGCTTTGTAGCTAGCTACAAAATATATACAAATCTATAGCAGGTTGATAGCTGCATATTAAAATTTTTTAAACAGCGATTTTATTACGATATGACGCTAGGTACAAAAGCCTTTGAGTCTTTAGCTTATTAAGCTAGCTGTCTTCGTAGCCAAATTGCTGTCTTTGTCTTTACAAATATCGATAGCTTTTTGCTAACTTAAAAAAGCTGTCGATCCTCGCGGCCAAATCGCTGTCTTTATCGTTACGATAACAGCTGGCTATTCGCTAGCCGATTTCCCACCGGATTCATTCTTTACAGCACATTTTCCTTACTGCACATTTTCTTAATGTCAAGATAATCTTTACAAACTGGTATCAAATATGAGATTAAAGCACACTAAAAGCTAAATCTGGACTTTTATTCTGAATTTTGATGCATCAAATCGTAACATGATTCTGTGCAAAAGGTCCTTCAAAAAAACAACATCTAAAGTTTTCATTTTTGTTAAAAAAGTAGCAACTGTAATTTGCATATAGAATTTGAAAAGAAATCGCTTTTGCTGACCATCTTATCCGACTTAACTTTTGATAGTAATTTTCCATCCCTTTCTTGCACCTCTTACTAGACCAGAACAAATTATCTGCCGTCTATGAGTTAAAGAAGCACAGCAATCTCACAGCTGTCAACAGCATTTATACCAACTAAATTTAAAGAATGTGCTGCACAAAGAATAAAATCAATGTTTGGATTTTCATCTTTCAGTTAAGCTTGCAGGTTGTTGTATTTGCTAGACATGATAGATACATTGTCATATTACTTACCGCAATCAGTTTAACACAAAGCGCAAGTGTAAGTCAAACTCTTTCAATCTTTTCTTAATTGCACCTATCGAAACCTTTCCATTAAGTCCACAAGAAGACTCAAACCCAATAATTTTCTTTTCCACAACTATTTTCTCGCTTACATTTTGAATGGTTTTTGTAAATTTTTTTTTTTTTTTTTTTTTTTTTTTTTTTGTTCTTTATTACAATATTTAATACAATATTTACAAATATATAATAAGAAAAATTTACATGCAAAAAAGTCGTTACAAAAAAAACAAAGAATTAAGATAAAGAACGCGGATACTCAAAGAAGACCATACAGGTCTTGTCACCAAGAACCGCTGTTGAAAAACTTTGATCTTAGTTTAGATTTTAGGAAAAACAAAAATAAATAAACACAAGTTTTTAACTTTTTTAAGTTATGGTTTTTGTGGCTGGAATTAAAGTACTAATTCTTCTGAACCGGATGATTCAAGCGAAAACAATAATATCATAGTATTCTTAATAAATAAATACGTCTCACATCTGACTCGATCACTGATTTTTGTTACTCAAATCTATCAGTTACACTGATCTTAATTGTTAATTAATTAATAAATAAACGAAAATAATAAGAATATGATTGCACTAGGTACATCCAAATGCACTTCAAGATTGTCCAAAAGATTGTGTAGAAGAATTTAGATAGCCAAATGATG